ACTCAAAAATGAATGGCAGACTCTGGGATACCTAGCCTCAAGAGGAAAGGTATAAGTAAGACATCCTTGCTGTTACGACAAATTTCTTTAGGAATATTTAGTATTTTGATGTGGCACTATCAAAAACGTTCTTAAAAAAAGAAAGGATGTTGATGTCAAGGCTAGTGTGAAAAACGTTTTAGTTTATTACAGGGTTTCCGATTTTGTATTCAACGTTTTCAAAATTATAGTAAGACTTAATCTTCAAACATCTGTTTTATTTTCTTACATTTTTTCTTTTGATATATTTCAAATACTTTGAATATCTCCTAAGATAGAACTGTTTCCCATTAAAAAATTTAATCAAGGCCTTTCTCAGTCTAGTCTAGTCTTATTTCCTTAGCTTATGTAAAGAGAATACCCATAAGACTGATATTTTGTTTGTTAAGGCAAGACAAAATATTTTTAAAAACCTTTTAAAAGATTTTGAAACCCTTCATAGTTAATCTGTAACTAAATATTCCAACAATTAATTGGTTCCGCAGTCAGTGGGACTACAAAATATTTTAAATAAACCAAAATCGTATACAGTGTCTCGAAAACTTTAAGATCGTATCACCTGGTCCAGCACTGATTGACCTTTGACCCTTGCGTGCATGTGCATCAACCTTTGATTGATTGACTCCTTCCACTTCCAAGAAATGGTGCACCCTGCCATTTGGGAGTTACCTGCCACATCTCCCAACCCAGATGTTTTCCCCAAAAAAACAAGAGCATAAAGTAATAAACACAGATTGGCTCCGGAGGACTTTGGAGCAGATGCTTTTGGGCCAACAACAATCTAAGTAGTGCTTTGGGTCCACGGCAATGCGGGAAAAGAAATGTTATTTCATAATGCAAATTGTGTCTGCTTTCCTTTATTTTTTTTTTACTTTTTTATTATTTCTTCGAAGAGATGGGACGATGGGGCGATGGTATTAATGTCGAATGTCAAGCGAATGAAGTGACGTCCAATTGAAGCCACGAAGGATATGGAAATGGGGCAGAAATAAGAAAAATGCGGTATTTAATGTGAATTACACCACTGTGACCACAAGGCGATTGCAGTGCCCAAGAATCGAGACCAAAAGGCCGAGACGGAGACCCTCGATCATCGTCATCGTTGGCACAAATGTAAATTTTCAATTTAAATGCAAATATCAATTTGTCAATGCGGCGCTGTGGGGCGGATTTGAAAAAAAGAAGAAGTCGAAGGAAAAGCGAAATCCTTGCATTTTAACTAGTCAGGCGTGGTCAGAGGAGAGAAATATTCGAAAGTCTGGAGCGTTCAATTCCCACGTGGCCGTGACAGTCAGTCCTGGCATTTAGCCATCATCATAACGCCAGCGAAAGGACGCCCAAGGACTGCTCCATCCATACCCTCCCATCCCATCCCAGTGGATACATCCATCCATCCTTGCGACCAACGATATGGCGAACAAACGGCGCTGATTTCCTTGTGGGTTGCTGATGCTGGTTGCTGTTTTGTGCCTAATTAGGAATTCACATCATTTTTTATTTGGGTTAAAATTATTCAAAAGTGGCAAAGACCCTGAGCCGCACTCGCAGGCCATCTTCGAGGCGGCTTTTATGGCCAGCCGAGGAGCTAAATCTGCGTGCGGTCAGGACAACCACCCACCGAACCACCCTACCAACCGCCCAAACCACCCAAACCACCCAACCACCCATCACCCCATCGGTGGCAAGAGTCCTTTTGCCCCTGGCCATCAAAAGAGCTCCTCAAATGAACTTCACTCAACTGGACTCCGCGGTTATGGAAAAGGGAATAACTGAGTGTTGCACTCTAGGATTAGAAACTTAAATGATTAGTTTATAATGTTAAAAATAAATTAATAATTATTGGTAGTTTTATTTTAAATATATAATATGATTGTGTTTTTATAACAAGAATAGTTATTGTTAGATTTAGATTTTTTAAATGTTTTCTTAAGTTTTTAAAAAGGATTATCTAAAGTTATTCCGAGGATAAGAATTTGGTTTTTGTATTAGTTCGACTTTTCTTAATAATTTAGTATGAGGATTTTGGATCTTATAATATTATGGCTCTGTGTTGATTCTGTTAAGAAGTAGCAAACGTTTCACATATAAAGAAAATGTGTTTTCCAAATCTAAGCCCTTCAAATAGTCCAATATAGCCGTGCTACCCTCTCCTGCGCCGATAAGAATAGGTGGAAAATTAAACATATTAAAAGTTTTTACACCTTGGATGATGAATTTTTTTTTTTTGACCGATGCTACTGTGCAACCAACCCTTTTGAGTTAATTTTTTTCCCCACTTACCGCTTAATATTTCCAACCATTTTTCCCCTCTGGCCGGGGCACTTAACAAACTGTCGCGGTGGCGGTCTCAACTGAGATGCGGAGTTCGTAACTGGAGGCTTGAGATGGAAGTTGCCGGCCAGGCCAAGTAATAAAAATGCAATTACACAGCCCAAACCCACACTTAACCCCCTACTGCCGGCCTCAATTTGATTCACTTCATCAGCAAGTAAACCGACGCATTAAAAAAAAAATATATATATATGGGCCGACTTCTCTCGCTGCATGCAAAATGAGCCCGAAGTAATAAAAACCAAAATAACCCAAAATGAGAATAAAAAGAAAGGCAACCGGAGAAAGGCTGGAAAAGCTGGAAAAGGTGTAACCATTTGACAGGGGGAAGCGTTAATGAAATGCGCCGAAAGGGTTAAGCCAACTCGAGTCGCCCACTGGATGAACCCTGACCCCCCTGCCCGCTGCCCACTACGCCCCTTTTTCTTGCGGAACCCCCCTTTTTGTTGGACATGTGACACGCTCGCTTAACTTGGTCCAAACTGTCAACAGGTTGATGGTTTTGGTCCTCCCAACCAGCTGGTGGTGCCCAGAAGCCCGTCCAGTCCACTCCTGTACCATCGTCATCATTAACATTTCAAACGACGAGTCACGCAAACGTTAAAGGCAGCATGAGGCAAAATAAAAATATACAGCCAACCAAAAAAAAATACACCCGGAAAACAACAGAATTTGAATCTGTTTCTCGGTTTTCTTGGGTTGGGGACTTACGGAGCGTGGACAGTCGGCCATATCGCGTGTCAATTGCCGAAAAGCAAAAGTCGTCAGTCAAAGTGAAAACGAAAAAATGAACGCCAAAAAAAAAAGAGCTCAGAAAAATTTACAGGACTTCAGAAACAAATGTGAATACTCTTCAAAGGAATAAAATACAAAAGTACATTCATAATTGTTTCTGGAAAATTTTTTAAATCTTCTACGGACCTACATAGGGTTTAAAAAAGTTTAAAAAGTTGGTTTCCTATATTTTTAAATACTTCTTTTTAAGTTTTTAAACATGTACATAAATGTTAAAATATTAAAAAAAAAACTTAAACATTGATTAAAAACACATTTATTACTAGCCTCTATTTCAATTAAAGCTATAAACTCTCTATATTATATTTTAAAAATACATACCCTTTGGATTATATTTTTAGAAAATATTCTTAACTATTTATCCAAGAAATATACCCCACCGAAGTGTTTACGGAGAAATAAAAATAATTACTTGAATGTTATGCTACAGCTTTCACTTTTCACATTTTCCCCGATTTTCATGCATTGCGTGGGCAATTGCGTGGGCGTACTTTTCCAAAGGGGGCATGGTCGCGTTTTCAAGAGACATAGACGGGGTGGAGGGGGGGTTTCTCTGCCATGGACAGGTTGAGTTTCTCATTTTCATTTTTTCCTTCATTTTTTTTTGTAATCGCTGAACTTTTTTTGACTTCCGCTTGACATTGTTTGATTGTCGTTTAATTGAATTTAATTAGCGTGAGGCGCAGCAAGGACGCGGTCACCACCCCCCTCCTTTTTCCTTTTCTCTTCTCCTCTTTTCAACTTATTAATGGCAGTTTAACTTTTATGAGTATGTTGTGGCTGACAACCGCGATTCTTTTCTTTGGTCGCAGTGAGCATTTTTTGTATATTTTCGTGGGAACTGTCTGCGGTTGTCCGAGCCACCCTGGTGTTATGTAAGTATATGCCCCACCCTCTTTGAGCTACGAGTCCTTTATCCTTGGATCTCCCATCCAATTTTCGAACCCCCATTGAAAGTGCAGCTTATCGCTTTTCAATCACCCAAAATCGCTTAAGTGCGTATTGTATTTGCGCCTGCCACGCAATTTTCTTGTTATTTAAGGGTCCTACAGCCCGAACCTTAACCCCACAGTGCCCCCCCTGGCACTTAGCACCTTGGTGACTTAACCGCACTGGCGAACGCACTAAATGAAGCTTGGCACGCACCAACAAATACTTGTACTTGTGTACTAGAACAACAGCAACAGCAAAAACAACAGCCACCCTCGACTGAGGTGTATTTAAGTTTTAATTGCCGGCAATTAAAAGTACATAGATACAGTTAGAACCGCCCACCCAGCCACTAACACACACATACGCATGAAGGATGTGTGCTAGATGCAGATATGAATACGCGTGCATGCACTCGAAGAAAAAACGATCCCCAAATAATGTATTCAAAATGTATTGAAGAAATTTGATGTGTACTGTGTTTGTGGTTCTTAAGTAAATAAAAGAAAGAAACCTATCTAAACATAAGTCAAATAAGTATATAAAAGTATATATAAGTAAATGACAACCTTTTAAGTCATTTTTTTAAACCTAATTCAAATATTATTCCGATTTAATTATCATAAAAACTTGTGCTAGATGCAATCCCTTAAAATTGTGTCAAAACTTAATTGTGTATTTTAGACATTTTAATTTTATCTGTATTATGTTTGTAATAACCTTTCCAAACCTAGGTCATCAAAAATGTATAACTAATTATATAAAATTGATTTTAATATTTTTTAGTTGATTTAGTTATTATAAAAAATTCCATAGAAGTAAAACTATATTATTTGTTACTAACGTTCAAGTTCCTACTAACATATTTCTTAATATGTATCTTAATTACTAACTATTGTTTGCAGTGCACTTCCAGCCATTGTATCGCATTGAAAAGCAATTGAGATCGAGGCAAATGTAAGCACTCGATGGAAGGACTCCGCTTTATGTATATATATACGTGTATATATATAGTTCCTGGCAATTAACGTTAGCGATTATGACACTGATGTTAGAATGGGTGCAAAACTGATGGGTAAAATCCCGCGTAGGTGTTGCCGTAGTCGTTTATAAATTCCAATTAACCGGCTTTTGGCTTTAAGAGGAACCCCAGCCCGCATCCGAGGGACTAATTAAAGAGCCGGGGAGCTCCGGAGGATGAAGAACCTTGAACTGGAGAACTGAAGAACTGGAATCGAAGTGAGAGAACGCCAGAAATGCGCCAGAAAGTTGCGACGACTTCCCAGACACAGATGCAGACACAATCCCAAACTCCCAGCACTTTTCGGCCACGCTTGGCATATTAAAAATATGTATAAAGCACAAACTTTTGGCCGCCTCTGTCGTACTTTCACACTTTGCCTGATTAAAACGCCGCCAAGAAAAGTCGAGGAAAAGCCAAGCCGAAGGAAATGAAAGCGAGTGCGTTGAGTTGGAGGTTGGGCGGTTGGTAAGTTGGAAAATGGGGGTGTGGCAAAGTTTTTGGCACTGCCAGCGGTAGCGGCAAAAGGCTTTAACTACATTGCAAAAAGCAGAAGCAGAGGCAGAAGCCAGAGCCAAACAGCCGGTGTCCTTGAAAAAGTCTCGCAGGACGCAGGACTCGGGACGCAGAACTGGCCTATGGAATCTCCGTGTTTATGTACCGACAACTTTCCGCTTTCATTTCCATAAAAATGCGTTTGCTAATTTCATAACTAAGTCAGAAAGTGCGGGGATAAAATGATTGCACTGAAAGAAACTGGAAAGAATTTGACTGATTTAGCTAGATTGTATGAAATAATCTGTACTAAATTAATACTAATATATTCCCAGTTTAATATGATTATTTTCTACAATCTAGTTAAGTTATTAAATTAAGTTAACATTTATTACAATAATTACAGTTCAGTTAAATCCAATGTAAAATATTTATGTTAAAACAAAAATTCTAAGTTTAAGATGAAAATGAATCAAATAAAACAACCTTATTTATTCTTAATGTCTGTAATTTGGCAGAAAAGAAAAATACTGTAGAATAATATTTAAGTCCGGTCTGGCTGATATATAAGCTCGAATTGGTTTAAAAGATTTCCCAATTTTCCAATACTAAGGAAATTTTCTAAAATACATATATTTCTTTCCAATTCCTAGATCCTTAATTTTTTTTAATGTGCTTGCCGGCGACGAGTGCAAACTAATTGCAAAGAAAATACGCAAAAATCCTTTGGATGCCGACTAGGATTCAGATTCGGATTCGGATGCGGATTCACATGCAGAGACTCATTAGCTTTGCTTCAGTTAATGCAAAATCAAGTTGCCACCAAGGTGGCCCGAATCCCAGTCCATCTGTCTGCTGCGTGAGCGTTAATCATCATCCTATACGCGTAATTACAGAGTCAGCGAGGAAAAGAAAGTGGCGGGAGAAAGTGGTGGTCGGTAGTCGGCTAAGGCAGAAGAAGAACACAAATCCGATGGGATAAGGGGGGATGGATGGGGCAAAGTCAAGGCGCAGCATCAACAGAATATTAAAAAGACTTTTTCCAAAGGAGTTGAAAGGAGCCCCGGGGAGATGGGATGGTTCTTTACATTTACAGCCAAAAACCACTGCGGTTGCAGTCACTTTTGTGGCGATGGCCAAAAGCCACAAATATTATTAACCACGAATCAGGCGTATTCAGAAAACCCATCCCTTGAACCTTTCTTCTCTCAAAAACCAAGAAAACCAAATTCACTTCATTAGGCGGGAATGGATTTTATTCAAGCGAGTGTCGATTTTTATAGCATACTTTTTGGGGCCAGCAAAATGATTGAGTTTAAAGGGTATTTGTACTATCAAGGTGTTTAATAAGGATTTATATATATGTCTTATTATTATAATTTTTTTAATAATATATATTAGTTGAGAATGCTTTTTATTTTAATTTTAAATTAAAAATCCATAGTCGAAAATACATTTTTTTTTATTTTTAGGTAACACGCTATCCACATTTCTCGCCTAAGCCTCCCAAAAATAACCCCATCGAGTGACAAGGACATTGGGATACAGATGGACTGCAAGATGAGGAGGCAGCAGGAATCCTCGACGGAATGTCAACTAAGAGTGTTGAGTGTCAAAGACGGATGCCAGGGCGAATTGCTGGCAATCAAAATCCGAAATCCGCTCAAAGCCTGTAGAAAAAAAGGGGTGGGGATGGGGCGGCAGGGGCGTAGAAGGGGAAGGGGGAAACTGTGGCGATAACACCGAATGCTCGAAACAGAAAAGCACTTAACTCTTAAAGGCGAAATGCTTGTAAAATTTAAGCCCTACTTAATTTGCGATATACTCGTAAACAATTGCCCGCGGCAATCTCATTGTGGCACTTGTCACTGGCCTTGCGCGTTGGGTGGTGGGTGGTGCTGGGTGGTGTTTGGTGGATTGAGTGGCTTGAGAGTGGTTCTGTCCCGTGACAAACCCCCACCCCTCTTTCCAAAATTTTTACTAATTTTAATAAAGCGCCGGAGACAAAGGCGTCGCCCCCCAACTTTTTCGCAGGGGGTTGTTGGATGAACAACGAAGACGCCGCAACTCGATATCACAAGACAAAGGCTCACATCAAGAGGAAACCACAGGCTATGGCTACACCTACGCCTTAACCCGCCACCTGCCCCTTCTCCACTTAACCCCCTAAAGTGTGTGCGACAACGGGTTAAGGGGCTGTGGGCTGGAGATTGGGGGACTGGGTGCTGCCACATAGCATTCCGGCTTATTTCTTTCAATTTCGGTTTTTACTCATTTCGCGACGCGGTTTCTCATTATGCAGACACAGCCCGGAAAATGCCGCTAGAGATGGAAATTGGAAAAGTTGGTAAAACGCATGTTTTAAGCCCTTTTATTAAAAGTAATCCAATTGACTTGATCCCAAAAAAACGTAAAGTAATAGTATAAGTTTGTATCTTTTTCGGTTTCTCAAATGCAAATATATGTATATCTTAGATCACTTGCTAGTAACATTATTTACAGAATGACATACTTATAGCAATACAGTTTTTCTTTTTAAATAGTCACATTTATAAAAGCTTAAAGCTTAAAGAAATATTAAAAAAATTTCTTTCTTTTGTACATTTCTTCATATTTTCACTGCAGATCTTTAGGTTTTTTAAAGAAATATTTTAAGTACTAGCAACTTTACCACAATGGATATGTTGTCGTTACCCAAACTTATTTGAATGATTAAATACCTGGTTCTATTTTTGATCTGAGATTATGTTCTGCAATTTTGCTGACAAAAAATAAATTAATGAACTATTTTCAAGCCTGCTCCAGCTGACGGCTCAAATAATATATAAGTTCGGATTGGACACGAATTTTCCATCAGCGATCTGCGTTTTGGCCAAGGCCACCACTAGCCCCAAATGAATTTTTCGTGTTCGTCGGTGGAAAGCTGGAAAATTCGAGGATGCAGAGGATGTGGGGTGGGGGTTTGGGGGTTGGGTTTTGTATGGGAAATGTCTTTCTCTTGGCAGAAACCGCGAGTCCTCGCATCAGCGGCACATTTGTGTGCAGTGCTGCCGCCGCAGCCGCTGGGAATTTAACCCTTTACTCCCCAAAATCCCCCCACCCTTCACCCCTTTTACCTCTTTTTCCACAACTCCACCCCTGGATTTTGTGTGTGCCAGGCAGTGGATTACTCAATTAATTTAATTATGCGCTGTCAATCATTTCGTTGCCTTGGCCAAGGAACTTACTTACATTCTCTGTGACTGTGTCTGCCTACCGGTGCCACGCCCACTCCTAGACGCCTTCTTAACCCCCCGCGGCCGACGCCCATCGGTCTGGGCAAAAAGTGACTTATTTTCTTGTTGCCACTTAATTTTTGTTGTCCTTAGATTTGCGCCAACGTCTGTGGCCGCTCAGCCACGTCCTTCCGCCCCTCTCCCTTTTCAATCCCCCACCCCACAGTACATATTTTTCTTACCCTTTTCCTGAGGCACATCTCAGCGGAAACTGCAGAGAAAGAACTTTAACATCTTATAGGAAATGAGATCCACTAAAATTAAACTGCTTTAAATTTTAAGTTTTTATTTTGTGAGAGTTTTATTTGAATGCAAATATAATTTACATTAGCCTTAGGTTTAATAGAACAAAAGAAATTCGTTGCAGTTCACGCAATTCTTAAGAAATGTTTTAATATCTACAATAAATAAGGGCAAAAATCATGAAATAATATTAGTAAGTCGTTAGAAATTGTTCTATTAAGTTTCACTTTCATTGTAAATGTTATCAAATGGTTAAATAATTTTACTGAAATACGATTTGTGACACCATAAAATAGTAGAAATTTTAATAATATGTTCCTTAACTGAAACAAATGGGCTTGGAAAAATGTAAAGCCAAAATAAAAGCCAATAAATAGTATTAAATGGTTAAAAAAATTTACTTAAATACGATTTGTGACACTACAAAATAATAGTAATACTAATAATATGTTTCTTAACTGAAAAAAATGGATTTCGAAAAATGTAGACAATATCTTTTGCCTTCATTGCCCAAAGTAATTTTCGACAAGGTTAATATCATCAAATAAATTGAATACAATCAATTTTCGCTCAGTGCAGCACTGAGGCACGCAAATGTTGATGGATGCCAAGGAGGTACTGCGACTCCCAAGCTTAAGGCAACCCCCTCCACAGCTGTTCCAACCCCCGCCCCTGAAATAACCGCGACCGCTTGGAAATAAGAGAAATCATTTGCGTTTTTGCGTTTACGTAAGACGCGGGCTAATCCCCCTGGTTCCCAGCCCAAAAGTAAACCCCTTCTTGGGCGCATGTAAGTATATATAGGTAGAATCCATCCTTCCTGATCCCGAGCTGCAGATTCCCATCAGCTTTGTGTTCTCTTCCCGGCAATGTTGACTTTTCCATTTGCCTTGGCAATTTCTGGCACTGTTTTTTCCTCTTTTCCGCTTCTTCAGCGGGTTTTCTTTTTCTTACATTTATTTTTTTTTACTTTTTGCTTTCTTTGAACCCGTCTTCTGGCGTCTTCTGCGAATATCCTGCGGGCTTTGTTTGCGCCTGTATTTGCTCAAGCTGCACATGTCTGTGTGTGCGTATGTGTGTGTGTGGGTGGTGTTTGCTTACATGTGTAAATTACTTTTCAATCTTGTGATTACTTTTTTCCACATTTAATTATTTTAATTACGGCCCAGTGCACACAAGCAGCTTCCGCAGCTCCGTTTTCGCCACCGAAAACCCATTTCCCAGAAACTAGTTCAAAGAACCCGTATGGCGGTACCCCATCTTTTTTACCTCCCTCAACTTGAGACCCTCGAAATTAGGTGTGCAGAACTCAAAACCCGAAACTAGTGATGGAGAATTGCGGATTTAATAGCAATGTTTTTTCGTTTTAAGTCTATCTATATTAAATCTATCCATCTATCCATATCTTGATGCTGCACTTGGATGTATACTGACAATGCTTTTCGGCTTAAAAATAGTAATATATTTAAAGCAAAATATTAAACATATAAAAAATTAGAATGAATGCGCTAAAAAATAAATGAAAACTTTAAGTCAATTAAATCGAAGGGAAAGACTTATATTTGACCAATCTTGAAGCTTCTAAAGTCGTAAAATCGTATAACTTCAAAGGGGAATGCAGTTTATTGCGTTTTACTTCAAAATTTGTAAAAAAAAACTTTTTATTTTGTAAACTTAAAAAGTGATTTAATTATTTTTTGCTTTAAATGTATTAAAAATACAAATATAAATTATTTAACGAATTGTCAATAAAAAATCAACATTCTAAACAGATTGCCATTCAAAGCCAATTTACAACAGTTGTTAAAAGCTTATTTAAAGTTGTCAAGTCTTTGAAAAGTATTTTAAAAGTAAAAAGTATAGTAGTTACACTCAATTTCTTGAAAGAGAAAGTAAATGATCTCAAAGAATAAGAAAGACAAATAATTTTAAAATCACTCCAAATTCCTTAGAAAAATCATCTACAAATTAGTTTTATTTGTTGACTTTAAAGAATTTTAATCGTTGAACTCATTTTATCTATAATAAAAACATCAACCATTTGAGGTATTGTCAATCCAAAATCAACATTTTGAACAGCTTTTATCTGAATTAAAAAAAAACTGGTCAAGCGTTTTAGGTATTGTCATTCTAAACCAATTTACAACAGCTGTTTAAGTCTTTGAAAATTAATTTAAAGGTAAAACATATAAAAGTAAAAATAAAATTATTGAAAAAAAAGATATGATCTCGAACAATTATAAAGATAGATAATTGAAAATCCCTCCAAATTCCTCAGAGAAATCATCTATTAATTGGACTTATTTGTTGACTTTGAAGAATCTTAATCACTGAACTGCAAAAAAAAACACATTCGCGCACTCAAACAGCCAGCTGTGGATTCCGACTTGCAGCGATGATTGATGAATGATGATTGATGATTTTCGATTCTGCATTCGATCGGCGAGCGGTTGCGACCTGAATCACCGGCTGAGAAATGCGTCAGGTGTGCTAATTGGTTTCCCAGCTCTGGATCTGGATTTGGATTTGGATTTGGATGTGGATATCGGTCTGTTGGTGAATTTCGGCATCTGGATCCGAATCTTTCTAGCGATCTTCGTTGGGCGACGGACTGCCTGACTGTTGCGGAGGAAATCCCTGCACTTGACTCGTCGTCGACGGGATAAAGTCATTTGTGGGCTGCTGCCGACGTCGCTGCTCCGCGAAGGATATGGCCTCCGAAAAAGCCGCCCCGTGTTGTCCTGGACGTTGTTTTTTGTTTTCGGAGAAAGCGGGGTGTCGACGAGCGGATGGCGACCTTCAGTGCGCCGACTCCCTGACTGTTATACTGTAATACGTACACCCCGTTGGGGGTTGGGAATACCATAATTTCACTTCGGCTTTTACTCCGAAAAACGGCAACGACGGCGACTGCGACGTCGACTGCAATTTTCAGTGCGTTCGAAAGTTCGACAACTTTGGAAAACTGTCAGTTGGCAGCGAACTTAGAACAGGTAGAGACGCACGTTCCGCCTGGAAAATCGGTACAAAACGGAACAGGCTAGAAAGGAACACACAACAACACAACTCCCCGAAAAACTCCCCTTCAATATTGTATTTGTGTGTATATTGGGGGTATAGGAAAAGCCGAAGGTTCTACTGTTGGTTGTTGTTGTTCCCCGTTGGCTGTGTGGGGTTCGGAAAACGTGCGTCGACGTCGACAGCGACTGAAAAACGGCGACTGAAACGGCGACGATGTAAAATTTTATTACCCCAAACGCATCGAGCAGTCGGGTTTTGGACGTCCGGACTTCACCGCCGCCTCGCTGCGACGCCAGACTTTTATTGCAGCTGCCATATAGAGTGGGTACAATTCCATGGTCAGGCCCGGAGATCCCAAAAAAAAAAAAAAAAACTTTCTGAAGACGGACACAAACTTTTTCCAGAGTGCGGCATAAAAGTGCAAAAGTTTTTGTTCGCAGCGCCCACAAACTAAAAGAAAAACTTCGCCGCCGCGCAAAAAACCCCCTCTCTCTAAAAAAAAAAACAAAAACAAAACAAAAAGTAAACCCAGTGCAATGCAATGCAAGCAGAAACCCAGAAATATAATAAACAAATACTGAAAAGTGCGTGGTCTATTTGAAATCGAGTATACGCCCCGTTAGCCGGCTTAAGTTTAACGGAAACTCTAAACATTCGACGATATCACCGCCGTCGCGTTGACAAAAAGTGAGTTGAGTGTTTGTTTGTTTGTTTTTTTTTTTTCGTAACTGTTTACCCAGTTTTAGTTTGGTTTCTTTTTTTTGTATTGGTGATATAAAATCCCAAATTAATCCGGAGTGTTTGTGTGGATTAATAAATCGCAACATCAGCATAATCAGCCAGCAGCCGCATCATTATCAGCTAAATAAACAAAAAACAAACAGAGGCCTTGAAAGAATGGCTCACAAAAAAGTGCAGAGTGTTTAAATAACAACAAATCGAAAACTAAATCCAAATACAAATCCAAATCGCTAAGACAACAAAATCGAAAACCAATATCGAAACAGAAACAGAATTCACCAAATAGGTAAAGTTCACATATAAGTATTTGAATCTTGTAATATCCCCAACAGATCTTGCAATTTTTTGTATCGAACTGAAAACTGACAGTCTCTATATATGAATACATATATATTGTATATACTATATACCATGCTGATCCTCACCCAGACCCGCCCCCAGCCCCTGTGAAGGCAAAAATTTCAAAATAAAAACATATGTATTTAGAAAAACCAACAAGAACGAGAAAATCAAGCAAATGAGTAAAAACAAAAAATGGAAAACACAAAACAATAGAATACAAGTAAAAGAAATTCAATGCAACAAGAATAATCACATTGAGAATTTGAAAAACAAAATTGAATATTGAGCTTACTGAAATCGTGAATCTATTTTATCCCACACATTTAGGTGGTTCAGTGCTCATATTTATCCATTGACTCAGGGCAATCTTTTTTCAATATATTTAGGTTATTTAGAATACTGAAGAAGTGCAGCGGGGGTTTCTATGGTTTTGAATCTGTTTACAGTCGTCTTCATTTAGGACCTTGTTTTTATAAATATGCGTAGAAATGCCCTATTGGCGGATCCAGAATTTTGTTGTGGGGGGATAGAACAAAAATTTGTTGAGTAGAAATCAAAAAATTTCGAATTACGTATACTTTTTAACCCGAGTGGGATATCTGTCCCCTTTATCCCCCGTGGATCCGCGCATGAAATACCCCCAAGTAAGGCTAAGAATTATTTTAGGTGTCAAACCAATATTTTTTACAACCTCTTAATAACATAGTTTATGGTTTATGACACCATTAAGCTAAGCACAAGCAATCAATCCATAAAAAAAGAAGTTTATTATTCTGTAACAATCTTTCAGATTGATGAAATACATAAACATTAAGTTCAAAAAATTTCCTTAGTAAAATTTAGCATTTACTTTAGTGATATATTCTTTCGGAAAATCATGGCATAGTTGGTTAATAAGTTGGTTTTATGTTTCTAAATTAAAAAAAACAATCTAAATCATATTGAATACTTTTTTTTAGATAGTAAGACATTTGTACTTGACCATTTTGAATTAGTTTTTATTATAAACTTTATATATCCTGAAACAAGATTCTTGATATCTCGATGAGAATTAGGCAACAGCTTTACAAATTATAAAATTATGAAGCTGTGTTAAATGGTCACACGGTATTGGTTTCGATTTGCTAAAGTTCCAAAGAATTTGTTTGCAAAAAACTTGTTTGTTTAGGTACCTTCAGTTCGGTTCCAAGACAAACTTCCGATAACATTCTTTTGTATATATTATAAGGTAGCTGGGTTTCGATTTTGTTTAGTCTGGAGGGCAAACGCGATAACAGAGGCTAATTAGCTTGGATTTTAGATGGTGCAGCTCCCAAACGATAATGATGATGTTGCAAAGGTTGAATATCCACATAAACAACTCCGCTTCCAAAAAACATTAGCTTACAATTCGTTTGAATTTTAATCTGATCAGCGGAGCTGAAGAGCCGGAAAAGCCGCAAGAGCTGGGAGAGTTGGAAAAGCTGCATAGCCACCGGGAAAATGGCGCTTTCCAAGCGGCCCCTCACAAAGGACACGCCCCTGTCCGAAAGCAATGGCAACCACACCAATGGCAATGATCACGAGACCTCCATCAAGCGGCGCAAGCGTTGCAGCCGCGACGAGGACTCCAATCTGAACATCAATAACAACAATAATAATAATACAAATAACAATAATAATAATAACAATAACAACAACTTGCCACAGAAGAAACGCAAACAGGGCGGTCACATTGCTGACAGTCCGGACAGTCCCACCTGCCCATCCTTGCCCGCTCCCTTGGCCAAAAGCAACACGGATGCGGACCAGGACGATGAGACCCTCATCCGGGAAACGCAGGCCGCACTGAAAAGCCTCTCCGGCAGTTGGCCCGACTCCCGCGGCAATCTGTATCGGCTGCAGGAACAGGACGAGAATCCACCGCCCTTCCAGAATCTTTTCGAGGAGAAGCAAAAGTATGAGGCCATCAGCAATCCTTGCCATGCCATCCAAGCCAGCTCAACAAATCCAAATCCCACGCTCTTCTCACGTTTCCACAGACAAAAGGAGAACGACCAGGCGCGCCTGAATGCCAGTGGTTTGGAGGGACGTGGCAAGATCAAGGATCTGGATGCGGATGTGGATGCCGATGCCGATGCAGAACTGGAGGATACCTCATCATCGGCCTCCGGTCAAGGGGTCTATGCCCAGGCGGCATCGGCCTTCAAGCCACCGATTGACATTATTAAACGGAACTATGTGGCCGCCGCTCATGCCCATTATAGTGCTTATAATGCGGCCGCTGCAGCGGAATCAGCAGCGGGATTGGCCTATTATGGTTATGCCGCTGCCGCCGCCGCCAGTCAACAGCAACAGCAACACCAGCAGCAGCAACAGCAACATCTCAGTACCGCCTTCGATATTGCCAGCCAGCTGGGCGAGAAGCCGCGTCCAAAGGAACCCATGGCCGATGGCAAACAGTACACGATCCTCCAGCCGGCGGGCATTGGAAGTCGGGCGGCATCTGTGATGCAGGATATTGCATCGCGTGAGGGCGTTGTGGGCGTACCGCTCGTGGCCACGCCCCCAACGACAGCGGCGGGCAGTCCAGTGGCAGCCCTACCAGCAGCCGGACCTTCGACTCCTTCGACACCGGCGCCCAGTTATTCGCCGGGTAGCCAGAATCGCGGTAAGTGGTCCAAAATAGTAAGCCATACAAAAAAAAATCCAAAGAGAAATTGAGTGATTTCCCCCGGTTGTTGACTATGAAGAGTTGGTTGTGCTTCGCTGTGACTCTGCTGTGAATCGATGGAAAGAATCGGACTTCTAATCCCGTGAAACTGTACTGTGAAGTGACTTGGCCATACAAGTGCTGTGATCAAGCCGGAAAACGAAGAAACACTGCTGTGAACAGAACTGAATTTTAATGTGATGTGTGAACAGGGCTTAAAGCAGTGTTGTAAATAGCACAATGATTCAAATATAAATAGTATTGTATATGCTTTGATCAGTGTTGTAGGCAGCACTGTGAATTGCTATTAAAAGTATTGTAAAATATATTTCTGTAAACTGTGTTATAAACTGCACTGTGATCCGCCGAAAAACAGTGTTGTAAGCGGCATTGTTATTCTGCAAGCAAAAACTACCAGAAAAGTTTAGAAAAGTTCTGTAACATTATTATGTCATTATTATAAACAGTTCTGTAAACAGCAATGTAAACGAAATGTTCTTAAATCACTTGTGGGCCAATTAATGGATGCAGTACAGTCTAGCGCAGTGTTGAGCAGCTAATTAACCTGCGATTCGATGTGGTTCGTTTGGGTTTCCGTTTTCGGTTCGACTGAACGATCGGCTGATGTGCGAGACTTCTTGTTGCATTGAGTTTACCACTTCAATTGGCAAAATCTGAACAAAGTCCCCTGTCCCCACCGCCCCCCAAAACCAACCGACTAACCACTTCCCCCCATTTAAGAGAGACAGAGACAGAAAGAGAGAGATTGTGTGTGAGTAAATGATTCTTCTGATGTCTGATGTGTGTATGATCATTTTCCCGAAATACAAAACAAAAAACACTCAATTTGCCTGCGTTATAGGCAAAATTATGACGATTATTATACCGCTGGCTTTTGTTGCTATTATTATTATTATTTGCACAGAACCCCTGCTCCTTAACCCCACATATCTAAAAATAAAACCCTTTTTGCAGCTCATTCAGCAGCCAAAAAGACATTAAGCGATTTTGTCGTTATGAAAATGGGATCGCTGAGGATGGGATGGGAGGGGGTTTGTATTTTTGGTTGGAATTGAAGGCTGGAGTTGGGGCATCAAGCGCACAACAACTAATGGCTTGTAAACCCTTTATGCCACACACAACTCTGAGGCACATGGACAGACATCTTTTGGTTGAGTGCCTGAGCCTTGAGCTTTGCCATCTACTAATTTCGCAGTACAATTTCCACAATTTCCACAGACGTTATGACGATGACGATGAAAATGGGTGGGCGGGGTAAGTGGGTGTGGCATGATTAGATATAAAGCATTATGAGCACGTTTTCCTTCAAAAACCACTTTTGCATATTTATTTTGTCATTATGTTTTGGCATTAATATGCTTAGCCCGCATCAGAGGAGCTCCAGCTTCATCCTGCGTGTGTATGTCCTTGGTATTCATATAATTTGAATGACTTTTTAAATAGTTGACGGAAGCCTTAGACTCTAAAACTCGCTGCGTATACGTAATAAGTCATTAGCGTGCGGCAGGCCTTATTGTTATTGTTTTAGCCTCTTTGCTAATGTGGCTTATTAGGCTTAACCCTTTAGAAGTTGTGTGTTTTTGTATGTGTGTCTGGTTTCTAGACTGCTCTCAATCTTTAGTTTTCCCTCTGTACTTTATTTTTATTTTTTTTTGTTTTACCACACACACACACTCGGGGAATTTTCTAATGCACAAACACTTTTAGACCCCAGCCCCTTGGCTTTATTTTAATTAAATTCTAATTAGAGACGAGAGTCGGTCCTTTTACCTTTACTTGCTTCCACGGCAGCTGCAGTTTGACATTTCGCCCGGCCACGTAATAGACAAAAACAGGAGTAAAATATTTCGAAAAATATTTCATTAACCAACCCCCCTCATATCACGCACAACATACATCAGAATATCAGAATAACAGGGGGCTTGGCATTTTATCTTCGAGGAGTTGCGCTTAGAAAGCGACCAAGTTTTTTGGGTCTGGTCTGGTTTGGTTGGGTTTGATTTTTGAAGCTGTCTCGAAACCCCTTCCCGAATTCCCCTTCGGCTGACTGTCATGTGTGCGTGAGCTTTTTAAAGTAAATAATGCAAAGCTGTTTTCCATCAAATTTTAATTAATTATTTAGGGTAAAAGAATTCGTGTTGCCTGCTGCTGTTGATGATGATGCTACTGCTGCTGTTTCCTCTATCGCATTGCTGTTTTTTAAGGTTCTCTTTTTTCCGGGGGGTTCTACGTCAACTTGTCTCTCGCTGTCGCCTGCCATATAATTAATTAGAAAATATTCACCCACGTACTCATTCCAACCGTCTCATTCCGGCATATACCTTCGCTCTTCTTCGTTGAATTTAAGTTTTTACTGTTAATTGGTTAATTGTAGATGGCGCCAAATGCCCCACGCCACATTGTATGGGCCAAGGACATGTCACCGGATTGTATTCGCACCATCGCAGGTACCCATCTATAAAGATTGCTTGAAGTGTGTCCGTCTCTTATACGAAACAAAAAAAACTGTCTTTCTTCCTCTCTACATGTATGTTTCGATCTGGCAAATATTGGGAACTTGACAGTTTGTCAGGTTGTCCGAAGCGCGATAAAGTCACCACAGAATGTAAGTTTCCCCAAGCATACAAAAAAGAAATACTTCCGTTTCGCATGCCCGTGTATGCCTAGTAGTCGCTCTATCTCTGTCTGTCACTCTTTCTCCGACTCTGTCTTTGTCTCTCTAACTGTCAATCTGTCTCCTGTTCTTTTCTCCCTGTCTCCGCCTTTGTATCTCTTAGAGAAGTCTTGAGTGTGAATGTTCGATGTGTCTGTGCGGTCTAACTTTCAGATTCTTTTCAACTTCTGTCTTAAATCTGTACCTAAAAATATATTTTAGAATCTTTTTAGTTCTAACTCTCTTTTCAGATCTTTCTTTTAGATTCACATTCAATTAACTAAAACGTATACTTCTTTGACATAAATAATTTGTATAATAATAGTTTATTAAATTAATTTGTGTTTTGTTCCTCACATATAACCTCAAATGGAAAAGATATATAATGGGATTTTATTATAATCTTCCAGATTTTTCAATCTTTTTAAAAGCGACATTTTAAGTTGCTGCTTTATAACTTATGTATTGATTTGGTTCTTTGTTTATTTCTTAAATTTCTTTCTTTAAATGTACTAATTCATGAAAAAATGGTATGGGTTATAGTAGTATCTGTTGAAAATAATAAAATTCCCTACTTCTATCTGTCGCCTTTCTTCTTTGCATGATCTTAGAAAGATCTAGACTTAGACTACAGTGATAGAGAACTGAGTTCTGTTGTAAAATTGCATGTAGTGTAGCATTAGCTACTGAGGTGGACTGGTTCTACGAGATCTTTCTCTCTGAACCGAGAGTGTTTATGATTCGACCTGATAGAGGATCTCTTTCTGGCTCTCTCTCTTTCTCTCTATCTGTCTGTCTCCTTCTCTGTCCCTGTCTGTGGAATGCCTTGTTGTTGTAGTCGTGATCTCGCTGATCCTGTGAAATTGATAACTCCCAATGCACTTGCAGTGCTGGCTTTGCACGAGCAGATCCTGAAATGCCCCACGCCCGGGTGCAACGGTCGTGGCCACGTGCAGCCGCATCGCAGCGTGCACCGCAGCCTCTCCGGCTGTCCGCGGGCCGTAAGGCGCTCCGGCGGAACCAGCCGCCGTCCGGGAGCAGCACCACTAGCATCAACAGCAGGTGAACCACTCTAGCCACTCCGGCCACTCGAGCTATTAAGATCAAACTGTTCTCAGATTGCGTGTGAAAGAAAATACCCTCCCCCCCATTTGAAACTCACTTTTACTTTCTTTCGATATGGTCTAATCGCATCTCTATAACCGCCCTTTTCTCTGTTCTATCGCTCCATGTCTTGCTCTGCTCTTTCTCGCCCCTTTTAGCCGATTTGGATAAACATGAGAAGGAACTGCATCCGCTGGACAAACTGAAGCTGGCCTCCAATCACTATCTGAACAATAACAACAGCAACTGCATCAACAACAACAGCACGAAATCTCTGAGTGGCGCCCCAACGATGCCAATTATCAAATCTGAATACAGTCCTGTAGCCAGTATTAAATCGGAGTATAATAAGAGCCCCATGCACTCGTATCTCTCGGGGGATGCGGCCACGCCCGCTCCCACCGCCCCCTCGTCGGCGAGTGCCGCCCAAGCGCCGCGTTCCGGTTCGGCGAGCGGTACAGCGGCCTCAAATGGTGAGAACAACCTGCATGCACCGCATCTGAGTCGCTTTGTGGGTCTCCAGAGTCCGCCGCATCAGCCACATCTCAATCCTCATGGCCACCACCAGCAGCAACAGCAACAACAGCAACAGCAACAGCAGCAGCAACAGCAACAGCAGCAGCAACAGCAGCAGCAACAACAGCAGCAGCAGCACACGTTGCATCAGCAGAGGGGACCCTTTATAGAGGGCAATGATGTGCCCGATCCCTCGGCCACTTATCACTCGGAACACCAGCAACAGCAGCAGCAGCAACAGCAACAGCAGCAACAGGCCGACGAGCGACAGCAACAATATGAGCAAATGCGATATGCCCAGAGTCATGTGACCGTCGGTCCTGGTGGTGAATTAATGGCACCCAACGGAGGGGAACTATCGCCGGGCACGGCGAGAAGCGCCTATGAAGCGCATCCAGGACATCCGCATCCACACCCCGGACATCCGCATCCACATCCGCCCGTCTCGCTGAGCTCCCTCAGCTCGCCAGCCTTTACGGTGGATGCCGTGACGGCAGTCAGCGGTGCGGGCTTCGAGCGGTACGATCCCAGCGGCGTCTGTTGTCCCAGCAACGGTCAAAGGTCAACGGCGGCCACAGCGGCGACGGCAGCGGGCGCCTCGGCGGCAGCGGCTGCCTATCATTATCTGCCCCAAACCACCGACGAGATGCAGGCCCAACAGCAGAAGTATCTGCAGGAGCAGCAACTCATGCTGGCCAAGGCCGAGCACGAGGAGTTGGCCAACGGAGGTCAGCCCCTATACCCGCGGCCCATGTATCACTATGATCCCACAATGGGCCCACTGCCGCCGGGCTTTTCTGCCATCAATCTCTCGGTTAAAATGGCCGCCGCTCAGGCAGCAGCTGCAGCAGCCGCCTACCAAAATCAGCAGCAGCAACAACAGCAGCAGCAGCAACAGCAACAGCAGCAACACCACCAGCAACAGCAGCAACAACAGCAGCAACAGCAGCAGCACGGCAAGCAGAGCAGCTCGCCCGCCCCCAATGTGGGCGGTGTGCCGGCGGTGGATCTCAGTGGTTCCACCTCGGTGACGAGCAGCAGTCCGCACGGTTTCAATTCGCCAGCCTCGCACAACCAGTATACCGCCCAGCGGATGGGCAACGGCAGTCCGCAGCCAGGAGCCAGTCCGAACATAGCCAGTCCCCAGGTGCCCAGCCCCCAGGGACAGACGCTGGACCTCAGCGTCACCCGTTTGCCCCACAGGTGGGTCATTAACATATCTCATACATACATTTGAAAAATAAATATAATTGGGTTTGAAATCCCTTCATTTGAGGTGTCTAAAAGTACGCAACAATGTATTTTAAACTCAGAAGTATATGGATTCGTTTAGAAATAGTGCATACTTTTAGACACCTATAATTATTTTAAAATTACATGACTTAAAAACCCGAGTGAACCATGTGTAACTAACCCCCTGACTTGTCTATCCGCAGCATTATTACGAGTCCGCAATACGGCGCCGATGGCCTGGTGGTGGGTCATGCTCAGGGTTTCGTGAGTGGGGCGACAGGACCCCTGGGTCCAGGCAATGGTGGACCACCACGGTCGCCGCAAATGGAACCGGTAGACTTCAGCGGGCCTCCAAGACCCCTGGGCTTCGGCCTGGTGGGACACATCAGCGGTCCGCGACCCTATAGCCGCGAATCCACGCCGGATAGCGGCGGCTCTCATTATATCGAAACGTATCGGGATCCCAGTGGTAAGTCAAGAAACCTATATATATAATGAGGCCTTTCTGAATACATACATTCCTTTTTTGGAGAAGGTTGTATATTTTTGTGCACTTTTTAAAATCACGATATCACAGATACCTCAGAAGTAGCTCAACTTGAAACCTTCTATCTTTGCAGGATACTCACCGCACCCCGGCTATGGGATGGTGGTCCAATCGGACTATCCGCCAGCTGGATACCACGGCTACGGTCCAGCTGCATACCAATGCAGTAATCCATACGCCACCGCCGTCGGACCCGGTGGCTATCCCACGCCCGTTTCCGGCGGATACTCGCCCAGTCCGGCCACCTGCTACTCGATGCCACCGCCACAGCACATCCCGCAGCACGACAAGTCCAAGGACGGGTAAGTTTTCTCATAGTCGATTGATATACACTCCCATTCCCAGTGTGGTTAATGATTCATATAATAATTGGACGAAAATTGTCCATCCATCTATGTTTTGGCCAACTCGCCATCCATCTCTGTCATAAGAAGAGTGTCTCGGGAACACCTGGAGCTTATATAGTGTACCCTTTAGTGGAAATTTCGCTTAAAAAGACCATAAAATCAACCTCTTAAATAAAGCTATTAGTGTTTCATCATTATTACATCATACATTATAATTTATCTACCTTTTGGATCTGACTCATTTTTTCGATAATCCTACCATATTCACTTTAAACCTAACAAATCAAGCACCAAGCTTAAATTGTAACCTAAGTTTTAGAACTGTCAGCTTCCCTTAAATTCCCTTGTCTTTATGAATTCAATGCGATAGTTGTCAAACGAAATGCAGTACTTGGCTTAAGCTTTGAGTCTTTCGTGGACTCCTTGGTGGACACTAAAGCCCAGGGTCGAGAGACTTTAATATTTATGATTACGACCGAAAGTGGCCGCAGAGCGGTCGTAAAACCAGCGCCCCAGCCATCCCATGATTAAATGAAACTTTAAAACCGAAAGTTTCAAGTCCAAAGTCTTAGCCGCACGAACAGACACAAAGACATATGGAGGTTTCCTTATCTGAGGACCAGCAGTTGGCCTGTTTTTAGATCCAGGTTGAGGGTTTTGGGTCACTCACTAATCCGGCGACCCTTCCCCTCTTCTTTTTGCCAGATTGACGGGCTGCTCGCGCTCGGACCGCAATCATCTGCAATCGCACTCGCAGGAGCTCAAGTGCCCAACACCCGGATGCGATGGCTCTGGACACGTGACGGGCAACTACTCCTCACATCGCAGCCTCTCAGGCTGTCCAAGAGCCAACAAACCGAAGAGCAAGCCACGCGATGGTCAGGATTCGGAACCCCTTCGCTGTCCCATTCCAGGATGCGATGGTTCCGGCCATTCCACCGGCAAGTTCCTCTCCCACAGAAGGTAGGTACCCCCGGGTCTTGGTTGGTTTTAGTCCAAAATGGCATATCCCTTTGTTTACTCTTCAGTGCTTCGGGCTGTCCGATTGCCAATCGGAACAAGATGCGCGTCCTGGAAGCCGGCGGCACTGTGGAGCAGCACAAGGCCGCTGTGGCAGCTGCCACGGCCATGAAGTTCGATGGTAAGTTAAGAACTGGGAACTTCTATATGGTTTTTAACAGATCTTAAGATAAGATTGATAAGATATTATGATCATTTTGATTAAATTTGATATCACTTCTATCTAGACATGCATAGTATCGCTCTTGTGTCTCTTTTCTGATTTGAGAGAATTTTCAAAGAAAGATAAAATATGCCTTATGAATATACCATGCGAATATCAAATTGATCCTATATCTTTTTCCTTAAAAACGTTCTTTTAATTTAAACTAACCTTTATTTCCACCCTTTTCCATCCTTATCTTATCAATCTTCCTTAGCCTGCACCACGGTGGGCAGCCAGGGCATCAAGAAGCCCAAGTTCGATGAGGTCACCATGGTCTATCCCAAGGGTTATACAGGTGAGTGCCCCGATCTCAGACGCTTCATCTCGCTCTCCTTTTCTCTCGCTGTCTCTCTCTTGCGTGTACTTTTCTGTTATGAACTGGGCCCAAGGCTAGTGTATACCATATCCCTCCTAGTTCGAAAAGGGGATTGGGTTATAGTGGCCTTGTCATAAAGTTAGCAACACACAAAGAAGAACAATGATAATCGATTGCACAACAAATTGGCCTGAAAATTTAATTTTGATTTCATTTTTCAAATTAAAAACTAAATTTAAAATATCGTATTCTTCTCTGTTGTTGCTCGCTTTTTTGTCTTGAACATTTTCGGTTGGAATTTTGTGTGCGTGTGCTAAAGTCAAACGAAAAAAAAGAAAGCATCAAAAGAAATGAAAAACAAAATACAAATATTCAACAAGAAATAACTTTATTTTTGGTTTTGGTTTCGGAAAATGCAACACAAAAAGAATTTCAAAAACAAGTCTAGCAAAATATTTTCGTTAAGTTTCGAAATCCTTCGAAATCCCCGAACCGACGACAACACCAAACTCCCCCGAAAACCAACCACTCACTCGAAATATCCTCTGAAAATCCTCCCGATAAACCCGGTACATAACAAGAACCCGATAATATCCAAAGACACACACACCCACAAATGCATCTGTATGGGCATGTGTGCGTGTGTGTGTGTGTGTGCTACGAACAAGAGAAACAAAGCAAAAGCAAAAGCAACAAAGAAGCTGATCAAAAGAGAAAGAAACAATTAAATTCCTAGTTTTAATTCTAATTTAATTCTGTGTTTCTTCTTTTCGTTTCGTTTCATGTCGTTTTTGTTGACGTTTTCTTTTAGATTACGCAACGTTTTGTATCGGTGCCGAGTATCTACTGTAAATAGAAAACGAAACCACTGAATCGCAGTCAAAACAGTCCGAATCGAAACTGAAAACTGAAACCACAACCAGCAACCAAAAATAAATGCAATGCAAAAATCCAAATGCTGCTGAATAAAAAACAAAACCAAATACAGTACAGAACCCAAAAAAAAAAAAAAAAAAATGTAACCAATTTTATGTGTCTGTATAAAAAAACGAAAGACAGCAATGCGAACAGACCACAAATTGTCATACCTACAACTCACACAAATCAGAGAATTCAAATATACAAAAAAAATGTACATACAAAAATTGCCAGGGAGTCTGTCGATCAAGGTAAGCCCGAAGATAAGATGATTAAAGTCCACTAAGTCACCAACTAATACCCACTCATTCACAAACACAGCGAAACCATGACACTCATGCACAAATACACATATACTGAGTCAAATGATATGTTCCTTTTATAACTCAATTGGTTCCAATCAATGAACAATTCCTAAAAACTGTGATCCAACTAACTACTGTGACCAATCACTATAGTTAGTTGTAAACGATGCAGCAGCCATATTGTCTGTAAGGGATTGTACCGCTGCATCGTTTATGACTACCTTTAAGGATTCACCACAGATGATAAACGTCCTCCACTGTAAGTGCCTCACACTATCCAAAAACCCACACATACACCATACACACGCTACACCAACTCACACTAGTGCCAATTGAGTTGCTAGCACACGCGCACATTGACGAACCGTGGAATGCCAGACGATCGCACAGATCAAAAAAAGAGAAAAGACATAACAGCATATTGATCATAGATCGTAGGACCGTACCATCCGTACCACTAACGAGCCTCTGCATTGCCCTTCTCTTCACTTGGAACAGGCGGCAGCGGTTTGGACATTGTCATGGGCGGCGTGGGGAGCAGTGTCGGCGTGGGACTCGGTCTGACGGGGTCACTCGGCATCGGGGTCACCAGTAGCAGCGGCAGCAGTACCGGTGGCAATAATAACACGAACAACAGCGGCGGCAGCGGCAGCAACTCCAGCGGTACCGAAAAGAATCCATCTGGCGGTGGTACCTCCTCGGGAGCCAATGGCAGCGATGATCTAAACACCCTGGAGGCCGAGATATCGGAACTTCAGCGAGAGAATGCACGTGTGGAGTCCCAGATGATGAGGCTCAAGTCCGATATCAATGCCATGGAGTCGCAGCTGAGCACCAGCGATCGGGTATGTAGGCTCAGGTTCGTTGACGGCAACAAATTATGAGACCAAGTCCATTTCCCACTAGGCTAAGCGCACGAACTTTGCAGACGATGGTCACACTAAAAGTTTTGCACCTCCCAACCCCACAGCCCCCTGCTCCTACTAGGAGCACCCACCGCCCTTAAAACTTTCGACTCAAACGAGACTTTGAGTGGAGTTCTTTTTACCCATAGTATCGCATTTGTTGTTTTTGAGTTTTGGTCTGTCGTCACCTGAGCGAGTTTTGTCTTGGCACTTTTCAAGGACGTCTCTAAAACTCGGGGAAAAAACAATGAACAACAAGTGAAACAAAGTAAAGTAAAGTAAAGTTAAGTAAAGTGAAATAAACTTAGGCTAAAGTTGAATCGAAAACGAGGGCGCGCGAGTGAAAAGTTTTATCAGCCGCCGACGCAGACGTTAAATTTCCTGGGATCTTTTGGGTTTTCCAGGCCTAACAACTCATATTTGCATGCAAAGAAAAAGCAAAGCATAGAGATTGAATATTACTTGGGTGCAACAGTGCGGGGCCAAGTTCAAGACCCACTAGTGATAACATTTTTTTTAATTTCTGTAAACAATTAGCTGCTACTATCGTATCAACCTTTCCTTTGGTGTAATGAATCCACCCGAATTGCAGTGCATTTCACTCCACCCCCTGTTGACGTCAGCCAATCGGTGACGTTGCATCTCCACTGCATCGGGCGGCGAATCAGAATCGGCGGCGTCAGGGGCAGGAGGCACACACCCCTAAGCCATACACACTCGCACACCCCACACCCACGCCCACGCCCAGGACTCCCTAAAGAGCGAGTGTGCCGGCGTGTGTGTGCGCTGGACATGCGCAGGCCGTGTTGCAGCCCAACAACGAGGCGCCAACAAATCGCAGGACGCCATTCGATTTGCTCCTAAAAGCTGGGAAATGGGGCGAAAAAAAAAGAAAGTAAAGAAAATAAAACAGGTCCACAACGGGGCAGCAATAACTGTGCTACAAAGGCGCCGGCAGCGACGTCGACGCAACATTAACCTTTGTGTTTTTTGGGGGCGCCCTGAGGCCCCCAATCCCCCAAAAACTCCGAAAAATCCCACTCCCTCTCTCGCTCGCTCTCGCCTGTCTCCGTCTCTTTCTGCCTGCGGTGTTCGTGTTGACTTCGTTCAGGATTCGTCTCTTTTTTCGTTTTTTTTTCCAACTTTCACCCCAACCCCATTTCTCGTTTTTTTTTTCTCCACTCCTGTGTGTGATGGCGCGTTCTTATTGGAATTCCTATACACATATGTGGCACATGAGCAGGGGTTTATGTACCCTGGGAAACCCCACCCAATCGAGTAAATTGAATACCAATTCGTGACCATCGTCTGGATTTCAACACACTAACCACTGGAGCCACTAACCATATATGTGTATTCCTTTTTTTGTATGGTCTCTCTAGGAGGCTTCTCCACTGAGCGGTCATCAGCAGCAACAGCAGCGTTCCTCGGTGGCTTTGGCCTCGCCCAGCGGTCAATCGCCATTCGCCAGTGTCAGTTCCACCAGTGGCACATCTAGTGGAGCCGTGTCCAGTGGACCCACCACGAATGGCAGCGGGAACGGGAACGGGAATAACAACATCAACAGCTCTGCCACCAATGCCAACGATCTGAACCACTCGATCAGCAATTTGGCACCGAGTTCGGGGAGTAATCCCAACCAGCCCATCGATGGTGTGGGCGCCCCACCCAATACCAATCTGAATAACTACTATGAGAGCCTGAGGAACAATGTGATCACGCTGCTGGAGCATGTGCGTCTGCCGCCACCGCCACCACCGCCTGGCGGGGCCACGCCCGGTTCCTCGGGGGCCTCGGTGGTTCATGGCCTAGACAATGTGTGTGGTGGTGCCGGTGGTCAATTGGTGGGTGGAGAGCACTCAGCGGCGGCCTATTCCACGCTCCTGCCGCCGCCACCACTCCCGTCCTCGGGTGGTGCTCCATCTGCCGGTGGTGGTGCTGGTATGTATGGGGGTGGTGGTGCTGCTGGCGCTGGTCTTCATCAGGGAGCCGGCTCAGGCAACAGCGGTGGCTTGGGATCTGGCGGAGCTGTAGGACCGCCTCCAGTGCCGCCACATCATCATCCCTACACGGTGCATCATCCCGTCAGCTATGCACATCCGCACGCCCATCCGCATGCACATCCGCATCCCCACGAGCACTTCGACTCGTATATCTCGAAACTCCAGTCGCTGTGCGTACCCCCCGATGTATATGCCCTGCCCGAAGATACGGAACGACCCGTCTACAACTCGGTGAAGCCCACAATGCACCAGGACTATGGCAAACTGATGCCGACACCCATCTAAGAACGCTGAGAATCAAAAGCCCAACACTGGTGACCCCAACATTAGAGCCACATCCCGTCCAGGGCTCAAAAAAACAAGTGTAAATACTTAAATAAAAGAAGTGAGATGTAAGAGCTAAGGGGTTAAACTGGCGTTATCCATAGGCCTGACTTCAAGGCAGACTATACAAGTTACAAGTGGGACAGAGTGTCGGGGTCACCCACCCGTGCATCCTCGATGCCCCATTAGGTTATACATAAAGCTAGTTATTAGGCATAGAAACATAGCCAGTTGGTCGGGACGAAGCAAGTCCCAGGCTTATTATTTAGAAACGTTCCACATCCTAGATCCTAGACGCTTTCGTCGTGTGTTGATAGCAACTCTGTAAAAAAACAAGAAAGGAAAACCAAACATAAGTGTGTAATTGGATTATGAATTTCAATTTTTTTTTTGTCTGTATCAAATACTAAAACTAGAAGTTATAGAAATCGATATATATATATATATAAATGGAAAAGCAAACCCCAAGTATATGTTTAAATGTAGGGCATTTGTTTGGTGTTAATGTCTGGTCAATTTTTTGCATACGGAACGCAAGATGTTCGCAACTACTTAATAGCCCCTCCCCAGTTCCACGTAGTACCCTCTAGCCCATATCCCTCGCAGGCTAAGTTTAGTTTAGTGGCAAAGTCGAACACCAAATGTGGAAAAACGAAGTAAAATACAACATTACATGCAAATATAATCAGTACTATACTTAGTGGATGTAATCGTACGATATTTTTTTTGTTTTTTTTTTGTGTAATTGTAATATTAAAATGTAATAGTAATATCAAGCGAATATCTAAAACTATAATGGCTAAGTGTGTGAAAGAGAAGTGAGAACTTTGGGTTACGGGGCGGTAATACATACATATAATCGGGAAAATAAAGCACGCGTACATATGCAGATTATATCAGTATGTGTGTCTATGTGTGTCTGCTTCTCTGTAGGATCGTAAGTTTTAATGTTACCCCTTACGAAAACGGGCAAGAGGCATTAACCAGAACCCAGAAAAAAATGAAATCGTAAAGATAGATTAAAATTCAGTGCAATACATTCAACCAATTGAAGGCAAAGCGAAAACCAAAATCGTAATAAACTAATTGTGTAAGCTTAAGTAAACAAAGTAGTTGAACAGAAAGTCACGTTTTTTTTTGTATCGTCATACGTCTAAACTTAAACTTAACTATAACTAAATAATACAAAAATAAATGGTAGAACGGAGAAGGAAACCCCAAAACCGCAAGGTAATTTAGACGAATTTTAAAAAATAAAAAACCAAATCGAAAAAGTTTAAAACAAAAAAAATGAATGGCAAAGACGGAAGGGCGAAAGAGTATGAAAATAAATAGCAGGCTTAACAAAAATCATTGTACTAAATGAAGTAATACATAACGATGATTAAAATAATTACACTAAACTAAATATAAATCTAAAATATATATATATAATATAATATTGTATTGTATGACAAGAAAAAAATTCTGTAATTTACAACCGAAAAATATTTTATGTGATCATTGTCTTTTTTTTTAATATTACAAGAAATAAATAATTCGAATACCAAATAAAGGATATACACAATAATGGAATGGTTGTTTTGCTTTAATGGTGGGCAGAGTACTTTATTTTGGGTGTAATATTGGTATGGATTTATACATTTTAGTTCATAAAATTATCTCTTAACTGATTATTTATTAAATCTTTGATTTTTTATTACCGAAGGTCATAACTCTTTGATTCTTTTTAATTGTTTGGCACACACTTAATTACCAAATACTCATTTTCTGGCCCATGCATTAGCATAAATCAGTGGTAAATGGTTTCTTAATTTTTGGGAGGGGGGTATGTGCGGACAGTGGTAATCGAATGAAAAATGCGCAGCAATTTCTTGGCAACGTTTTTAATTTCAATTAGCCACTGGGCACTGACCAAAGGACCTCCTGCTGAAAGTCCGCTAAGCGATGAAGGATGCTGGTCAAGGAGCAGGAGCGGGATGAGGATGGGCTGGCCATGTTCTCCGGTTAGCAGCCACTTGATTTATGTGGCTTCATTAGACATTCCGCACATAGCTGGTGGGCAGAAGGGGAGGCGGGTCAAGTAACCGGGGGTTAAGTGATTGCCGAAAAACTAAGGGCCAACGTACACACGGCCAAACACAATTAGAAGCAAACCGAAACCGAAAAGCGAACTTCAATGAGCGATAAACGAAGGGTTTTTCGGGGGTATTGGGATTTCCCCCTTTCCCCGAGAAATTTAGCTAGTTTTCCGATTGACCAGCATGGAATATTTTTGGTTGCCATTGCCACCTCAAGCACTCAAAGTACGGGCTGGAAAAAAAATCAGAAAAAAATAAGAAACGGAAAATCAAAAAGGGTTCCCTGGGTCCGGTTTTGGTGTTTTGTGTTTGCTCGTGTGAGCCGCAAAAATATTTGCATAGTTACCTTTAATGTGGTTCGGTTCAGGTCGGCTCAGAGTTCACAGTTCACAGTTTGCAGTTCGCAGTCTCGATGCAAAGTTCTTCAAAAACAAACGAACAAAAGTTTTCTTTGCACAAACACACACATACACAGCAACTCGAACATGCTGGCATGTAATTTAAAATGAAAAATTCTATTCTTTTGACGCAATCACAAACACAGACACACACACCCACACCCACACATACGTCAACGAGCATTGATTTCATTTGCATAAATAAGGAAAAACTCGTATGGTAGGGGAAAGTCTGCCCCCGAATTGGAGGGGGGGTTAAAGGCGGGATGTGTGGGCGGATGGGGGTTAAAAAGGGGGTACTGATAACGTGAGCTAAAAGAAACTATTGCCTACTTTCGGGCGCCAAGCGAAAACAGTCGTACACGTGCACTGTGGGACAAAGCGGTTGGGAATTTGTCAAAATATTAAATATGAATAGTCAATAAAGATGCAATTAACAGTCATGCTATGTTGCTAAATAATATTTATATACATGGTCGTAGCCAGCCCAACAAAAATATTTGGGTGCAGCTGTCTATTTTTCCCCTTAATTAAAACTTCGTCTATAAGATACCTTTTTATATTAAAAAGAAGTTTGAAAATGTAATAAAATCGCAACGCTTTCTTTAATTTTTTAAATTAAAATTAATTGTTCCGACTCTACAAGGAATTATAGATTATAAAATAGCTTACATCCATTGTGCCACGTACTGTCACTCCCTCACTCCGCATCAGGAAACCCCTTCCCCAAACCCCTTCCTCGACCCCTTCCCAAACCCTTCCCAACCCCTTCCCGACCCCTTCCCAACCCCTTCCACCTATGCGTACGCTGGAGGCGGCGGCAGTCAAAAATCGCATAAATTAAAAAACTGCACACACTCACGCACAGACATGCGATGGATGGGAGGCGGGGTGGTGGGTGGGAGGCAATGGCAACCCTTTGTGCCAATCCCCCCTCCCCCCCCCTTCGCCCAGCTGTCGCTCACCACCAAGGAAGTAATAAAGTATCTCGAAAGTAACTTATTAACCATGCTGACAACGCTGCCGACGAAGCTCCTGGAGCTCCAGACACACAGCCAGAGTCAGGATACCAGGACATCAGGATGTGTCTGTGGAACACACGCACACACTCACATACCACCGGTGAGGATGGGGGGGTGAGTTTGGGAATGGGCCACGGGTAGTCATGTTTCATGTTTGCTAATTGCAAGTCGATTTTTCATTTCGCATTTCTCTCCAGAGTGTCGTAGTGGACCTGGGACCTCAACCTGAAGCCAAAACCTGAATCCCCAACCGAACCGGAGGTCCGAAAAATACACCGAGCCAAAGATTAAATGATCTTGGTTGTGAATATTATTGTAGTTTGATTCATGATATGATATTACATTTTATTTAATTATAATTATTGGTCTGATTTTGTATAGTAATTCAAAAAAATGGAGCTATAATATATAAATATTTTTGTGTTTAAATTTATAATCTTATCTCAAATTGTATATAAGTATAATTAAATATGTAACTTTGTATAGGATCTGAAAAAAAGGGAGATTTGTAGTCTGATCATAAATTGTATATGTCCTGTTTAAAGGAATTCTTAGAAAATAGCCAGTATTTCTTAATGTTACTTAATGTATTTTGGATTTGAATACGATTTTTGTTGTTAAAACTTAATAATATGGTCCTAAACTGTATATGACTACTATTAAAACTATAATTTTACACAGGAAGTCATTCTGTTGGCAAGGAGAATTTGAATATGACTTTTGTTGTCAGTAATTAAGGAAATACAAATTATAAGGGATATTTAAAATATATAAATGAATAAAATAATATTTAGTAGTAGTTATTAAAATCGTCATAATTTTTTAACATTTTATTATTTTCTTTTAGTGCCTTAAAGGAGCTGGACAAGGAACTGATTGAGTCTGTGGAAATTGTTGAGGTTTCCGCTGACCCACTCAACGCCGGATCCGCATCATCCCGGAAGGGACTCACGCAAAAAGGCAAAAATATTTAATTTAAAGCAGCATAAAAACAAAGACGACGACAAGGTGGACGGGGGTGTGCCCAGCAAATGGTTAATTTAATTACAAATTCTTTGCTTTCTTTTGCATTCGTATTAAATTTTCATGGGGTCCTGACATCAGCTTCCTGTGGGTAAATACATACGTGTGTGTATGTGTGTTCGTACTCATGTGGTGGTGGGTGTGCGTGTGTGTTTGCAAGGTACCTGCTGTCATTGCCGTCTTTGCAACATTTTGGCCGCTTAAATACCCAAGAGACTTGAGAGAAAGCATCCACACACACACATATACACACTCAGCTAAATCACCCTCCACACACATACACCCATACATGGACACGCTGATTGTCCTTTCAATGAAAAATAGCGCTCATTAATGTTGCTCATTAGCAGGACCACGGATCCTGCTCCTTGACTTTGCCCTGCCGATGACATTCCCTTACGTGTCCAAAGACCTTACCACCCCCCTTGGCCATTCAGCAAGTGTCAACTGGCAAATGATTTCCCATTATTTACTAATAAAACTCATCGAGTTTCAGGCCCTCTGCTAATCGAATGTGTGTGCTAGAACCACCCAACCACTTTGGCAATCCCCCCAACCCCTCGTAAACCAAGTGTGAAGAGGAGGAAGATGTCCTGCGCAAGCAAAGGACTCTTAATTCGAAGCGACTCACACGTTTACGCTAGCAAATGACCTCAATCAACGCAGCCATCAGAAAAGTAGGGAAGAATTGGTATACTTAAGCTTTATAAGTACAAAACCCTAAAAATGCTTCTTTCCTAAAGAAAATACACCCAAATAAAAAAAAAACTTTATAAAGCCGTTCTCTCAATCTCAAAACTAAGCCAAGATCATTTCAATCTCAGACTCTTAGTAGAGATGAAGTATTTCATGTGAAAAAAAAAACAAAACCCAGTCTAATTTCATGGCTTCATCTCAAAAAAACAAACTCAAGAGTACTTCCGTCTTGATTTCAAGAACCTTTCTTCGAAATTTATAAAGACGATAAATTCTCTATTTAAGAATTCTTCACCTTCAGCTTTTTTTCCGTTTTCAATTTTTCTGGTTCTTTTACCAAAGATGTCTTAAATTTTATGTATAAAGGTTAGCCTTTGAGTTAAATACATTTCATTTGGATTTTCATATAAAATAGGTCTCCTTTTAAAAGAGTCTCCGGATTACAAACTATTATAGAAATATTGGTCAATGCAATAGGAAAAGTTAGTTTGCATATAGTATGGGAATGATATTTACTGAAAGTGCTAGGTAACAAAGAAATAAACAAAGACCCTTAATCCCAACATATCAGAAATCACTGCATTGCAGTAAACGAGCAGAATATTTGCCATAATAATTGTTTACACGCATTGAATCAATTATTGAAATGTTATATCTGAAAAATGTCTTCTGATATCCAATTAGGTTTCCCCCTTCCAAAAGAGTTGCTGACAAAAGTGCTGATTATCTAGTAAACAAATTGATTTCTTCTGCACCCCAATAGGAGCTCAAATGTGCGTATAAACAAATGTATTTTCCCCTTATTTTTTTAGAGCGGCAGAAATGAGTGTCAGGTTCGGATCAGAATAACATCATATTGCCGGTTCCATTTGTTTGATTATACTTCGTCCAAGTAATGACAATGGTTGACCAAACGAAAGTGTGTGGTAATCTTTCATATCGATTCAATAGATGGCTTCCGGTTCGATTCCGGTGCCTGTCAATCAGCAGAGGTCCCACATGGTTTACGGGAGTCAGGGGTTGAACTCCCCAAACTCCATTGTCAGGAGTTGGACTTCCACTTGGACTTTTGCCTGCCAGTCAAACTCTTTTCGGTTGCCGCTGCCGTTGCCCAGTTCTTTGCATTTAATTTCGTTTATTCATTCGAACGACCACAAAATGACATTTGCATTTGGGCAGCGGTCAGTCCCAGCTCCAGAATCCCAAATACAGAATTCCGAATCCCGATGCCCTGGCCCAGGTCTCATGTGCCATACTCGGGGGAGTTCCATTTCCTTGAGTTGGGGACGGTCTCGGGGGTTTCGTAACAAATGAATGGCTCAGTTGCAAAAATTTGTTTTGACATCCGAA